CGACTTCATGTCGAAGGAAGAAATTGCTCAGTTGAAGAGCGAGCTTGATGCCGCATTGGCCGCTGATCCCGCCAAGTACGACACCCCGATGTACAAGCTGCAGAGGAAGTGGCTCGATGATGATACCGTTCCGGAACTCGAGATGATTTTGTTCCCTCGTGAGTGGGCTCTTTTCCGGCAGACGTTGCTCGTGCCTACAGTTTCCTATCTGAAGGATCTGCGCTTGTCAACCCAAGCGAGACTAGCGGCAAGTTCTATACTTTCAACACCCTTTTGATGCATGCTTGGGCTAGAGGAAGCGTAAGTGTCGCTCTCAGGTCCACCGGGATGTATGAGAACTTATGATGGGTTTCCTATAAAGGTCCATGTCAACAGTACCAATGGTCTTGCTGCCCCTGTAATGGACACAAGTTACTTGAAGTCTCCTGCTGACATCGGTTTGTTGCGTCCTCTACGCCCGCGACATCCAAGTACTTACACTGAGCACTTTCACCCGTATAGACATCAAAATCTTCATCAAGGCCCTTCGCTACGGCTTCAAGCTCGCTAGCACGGAACCCATGAAGTCCTGGACCAAGGGCGTAATCAGTCCCGCCGAGGACGCCACGGACGAAGAGCTCATTCAGCATCTCAAGACGAACCTCGGTACCAATTACCACTTCATCGGAACCGCATCCATGCTGCCACGTAAGGACAAGGGTGTTGTCGATTCCAACTTCAAGGTGTACGGAACGAAGAACCTTAGGATCTGTGATGCCAGTATCTTGCCTATCGTAAGTGACCTGTTGTTGTTTGTTGGAACCTTGACGAAACAATTTGCTCGATAGCACATTGGAACCCATCCTATTGCAACATTCTATGGGTAAGCCTTACCTCTTTCCTGCTTGAGAAACCAAGCAGCTGAATGAGTATCGAACCGTAGCATGGGTGTCAAAGCTGGATGCACTATCTTGGGAACCTGTTGAATAACTCTGGGTTTGCGGCCGTATGAAACACTCAAAGTTCCACTAATATTTTTTCTGCATTGCTCTGGTTCTTGCTTGGTATCGTATGTCAGGCCGTCGGGCTGTAATGGTCATCGAATAGAATTCTGTCGCAACACTGTTACCTACCTGGAAAACCTTTTACATGAGTTTTATCCCTTCCAGTTTACTGGACTTTCAGACAGAAACAATCGACGATCGAAGGTTCTTACATAGACCTACAAACGACTGGACTCGAAACCACTCACTTCGCCGAGGCACCAGTGTGGCAAAGTGAATGCCTCGAGTGTAATGAAGGACCGCTGCTAACCCTTGCCAATCCTTCCATCACTACTAATGGTAAAAAGTATCGCCGACATGGGGTGGAGCCTGGCCTCAGTATGGGGCGAAGCTGAAGCGCTGGGACAGTAGATTCCCTGACGGAGACCAATATAGAACAATGATTCCGAAGTCCGGTACTCTTTCGGTCCAAGCTATGCCACCACCTCTGAGTCTATCCAAAGGCATACGTATAGGAGTCAAGAAAGAAGCCGGTATTATTCGTGCAATAGCATTGATGGATGTCCACAGTCGGTACGGTGTTTCTACCTAAACGATCCTGAATACAACTACTGGTTCTTCTTCTCGTTCGCGTTGAAACTCTTGGAAGAAAGTTCGGTCCTGAGGGGGTTCTGGATGCTGGCCAGCGCCGAGATACCGAAGTACAACACGGGAAGGAAGATGAAGAGGACAAAAGCGAGGATTATGATGAGTCCTGGAGTGAGGAGTTGGTAACGGTGAAGGATCCCGCCTTTAGGCTGCTTGGGTGCAATGATCTGGGATGCGGAGGATGACGGGGAAACGTCGAGGGCGGGGCGGTGTGGAGATGCGTTTCCTTCTCCGTCTAGTTGAGCCTGGCGTTTGTAAAGGTTCGGAGTTGAGCCGGTATAAATGATGAGGTGGTTATTGAATGGAAGGGCGGAGAGAGCGGAGGACAACAGGTAATCTGTGGGTTGAAAAGGGATATGTTAGGAGCGCAGGAATTAACATGAACCGGCGGAAACGAACCATGTTCAAGCATAGTGTTCTTTCTGCTCGATCCCCCACCCAGCTCAGGCATGCTCAACATTATTACGGATTTGTCGGCTCCATTGAACGATACAGCACCCTGACCCGGCATAGTGTGCACAAGTCTGGAGTTGCATCTCTCCGAGACGGATTTCGCGAAGGAACCGAGGTCGAGAGAGTTTTCCTCATGAGATGAAATGTATGCAAACTGACGAGAGGAAGGTGCAGAAGAGAGAGAACGAGCGACATGAGAGTCTCTAGGGAGGTTCCGAAGATCTGAGGCATGAAGCTGCGGGCAGGTTAGTGTACCGATTCAGTGCGGGAGTTCGACTTCAACGTACCCCAGGATGTTCGACAACGACTACTGCATCATGAATACAGACCTCATCCCCAGCGATGAAAGACTCCAAAAGACTGAAAGAATGAGCACTCGCTCCAGGCAAGGGCAGTCGGTCAATAGCACTGGAGCTGAACCAGATTTGAGCAAATAATCCTTCATAAATGGAGCTTTAGAAGCACTACCTGTGTGTAGACCAAGCTAGCAGAGGAGAAGTATTTGAAAATGCAAAGGCAACTGGCGATAATGTCAACAGCAATCCCAGACGGGTCATCATGGTCGTCGTCGCAGTCGAGGAGGTGAAGCTACAAGTGAACCAGTCTGACTTCGTCACGGTAAAGGCACGTGCTGCCATTGAGCCAGCTCATTTCAGGACCGGTTCGGTTGCCTAATGTGGGGTACGCAATTCACATGGGCACTCGTTCTCAACTATGAACCGTATTCCGAGTTCCGTCCTCCACCCTTCCTCTCTTCTCAACCACCATGTTCAGAACTGCTATCTCTCACTCTACACGCTCAGCTAGATCTCGCTTGCTCTCATCGAATGCTACACGGTGAGCGAACCTTGTTCTCTGATTCCTGACCATAAAGTTGACCCCTCAATCACAGGGCATTCACGACCACTAGATATCGTGCCTCGGAGGATATTTCGCAACTCAACTCGCTAGACGCCTTGACTGAAGAAGAGCAAATGATCAGAGAAACAGGTGAGCTCGCAAGTCACCTCGGCCACAGGAGCGAAGACCCTCACCACTAGCCAATGGATAGTACAACGGTTCTCAACAGACGTCGTTCAGCCCAAAGTCCGGGAGATGGACGAGAACGAAATGATGGATCCGGAGATCATAAAGGGCCTCTTCGAACAGGGTGTACGTCTCTCTTTGAGTCCGTTCATCTTGGTGGCAGGACTCACATGCCCCGTAGTTGATGGGAATCGAGACTTCGGCTGCCCATGGAGGATCAGAGTCTTCATTCACCGCTGCTATCATCGCCATTGAAGAGCTTGCCAAAGTCGACCCGTCTGTATCAGTGATGTGCGACGTCCACAACACACTCGTGAACACCGTCATACGCAAATACGGGACCCAGGCTCAGCAAGACAAATGGCTGCCCCCGTTAGCTACGGAGAAGGTGGGCTTGTACTATACTTCTTCCACCACTCATTGCACTGTCTTACAACTCTTTGTAGCTTGGGTCTTTCTGCCTTTCAGAGCCGGCGTCTGGATCGGATGCTTTCGCACTTCAAACCAAAGCCCAAAAGGTCGGCGACGACTACGTACTCAACGGAACCAAGATGTGGATCACCAACTCCTATGAAGCTGATATCTTCCTAATTTTCGCCAACGTATGTCAAGAATCCTTCGATTGGTCGCAGTCGTATAACACTCCTTGGTCTAGGTCGACCCCTCAAAAGGCTACAAGGGCATTACGTGCTTCATCGCCACGAAAGACATGGGCATCCAGATCGCCAAGAAGGAGCAAAAACTCGGTATTCGAGCATCTTCAACATGTACCCTGAGCTTCGACGATTTTAAGGTCAATTGCTTCTAGCGCACATATTGAGGCATCTTGCTTACTCGAGTTGTAGGTACCGGCAGAGAACGTCATTGGAGGTGTTGGTCAGGGATACAAGGTGGGCATCTTCACGATCTCTCACAATTGCCTGCAAACTGATAGCATGGTTGATAGATCGCCATAGAAATTTTGAACGAGGGACGTATTGGTATCGCCTCACAGATGCTTGGCCTCGCACAAGGAGCCTTCAACCTCTCAGTCCCCTACACGTACACCAGGTCTCAGTTCGGACAACCCATTGGTACATTCCAGGGCATGGCCTTCCAGTTTGCTGAGGCTGCTACTCAGATTGAGGCGGCGCGTCTGTTAACCTACAACGCGGCGCGGAGAAAGGAGACTGGATTGAGCTTTGTCAAGGAGGCAGCTATGGCGAAGTGGTATGCTAGTCAAGTCGCACAGAAGGTTAGCGGGAGCGCGATTGAGTGGATGGGTGGTCTTGGGTTCACGAGGGAGACTGGTGTTGAGAAGTTTTGGAGAGATTCTAAGATCGTACGTGCTCAGTTTTTGTGTTGAACTTTATAACCAGACTGATTCGTGCTGCTTTCCAGGGCGCGATCTATGAGGGAACTTCGAACATTCAGCTCCAGACGATCGCCAGGTTTATCCAGAAGGAACACGCCAGCTGAAGAACTCGGATGTTGCCTACGTATTTGTACAATCTATAGCCTTCAGGTTTGCTTCAGGTTGGACTCGATAAAGCAATATCATGTTTCGCGAATTATGTGCTTGCCACTAATGCCTAAAGTCATGACTTGGGGAATATGGCTTGTATTACGACGCGTCAAATGCTTATATTTGGAAGTAAATTCGCGGTGCTATGGAGGAGCGACGTACCCTGAGATATACCTCCAGCAAATACGGGACACTGGGCCTATGGCCAATGACAGTGCCCAAATGGTTGGTTCGTTGGCGACTGATTCAATGTTTCGCTTTGTCAGTCCTGACTCTTCAACTTCAGCTACTAAGTCGTTCGTTGCCTTCTGCGTCGGAAGGCTCAATGCTTTGACACAGGAGAGTTCCACGGCTCTGGTGCAAAAGCGGAGGCCCCTCACGGTTCTTGATTCGACCCAGGCTCGAACTGGGGACTTTCTGTGCACAATGAGAATCCTTTCGGCCGTGTTAGACAGATGCGATAACCAACTACGCCATCGAACCACAGAAGTAGATTGAGGGTATAATTTATACCAGCCCCGGTAGGTCAAGAACATATCCAACGAGTTGCTACAATCCTACTCACGATCCGCTGGGTTTTGAGACTTCATACATGGTATGGCATCCCAGCTACTGAGAATGACTGCTCTAGTAACAAGCCTGAAGCCCTAGAAATTCACCGGTAACACCAGTAAGTCTTTGGTGTCACGGACCCCGGATTTGACCGAATGGTTCGTCGGACGACTGGTTCGGACCGAATAAAATATAACTGTTTGTTCTCTTATTGTAACACACAATTATAGTGTTGAGCTTGGGACAAAATGAGGCGTAAAATTTCATGAATGATGTATAAAGGAGGATAGACTTGTGTTTTAGGCCGATTTCGGTTAGCAGTTGTTGAGGATGGTGCAACCGACTTCAATGCCCATGCTACGGAACGGTCAGTGAGACGCCCTTTCGTTATATCAAGACGTGACGCTTACCCGTAGAGCGTCGCCACAGGGTGAGCGCCAATGTGCTGCTGACAGACCCATGATTGTATGACAGCCTTGGCCTCGCTTGTACACGTCCAAAATCCCACCAAGGTCCAACATAGGACAGCTTTTCAAGGGCCGCAATGGATTGAACCGGATTACGTTCTGGTTCTAGGAAATTCATTGCTGAAAACGGCGCCGAAGAACAACTTCGATCTCCCGTGAACGGATCTTTTGAAGTACCACTTACCTTCGGACGACGTCAGGGTATCAAAGATGTCCTAGGAGATACTCTTCCACCGTGTTTCCCTTGTCGTATGCTGCTCGTCTCGTTTGAGCACAGTAGTGAGCTCTTGACACTTCCTTGACCGGAATATGGTTTCGGTTGATTGGATCGTCCGGGTCCTTTTCGGTCGTGAATTTGTTTGGGGCATCCGCCTGAACATGGCGGACCCTCGCCGCCTACTAGGAGCCAGGCCTTTTCATCAGAGTTGACATAAGCCATGAGAGTTAGGTGAGGTCTATAGATAGTCGGTTGACTTCCTCAGCGTGAGCAACGAGTCAAAGATGCCAGGCCTTCCGAAAGCTCGAACCTGAGGGATGAGAAAACATTGAGCCGCTGCAAGGCGAGCCGCTCGGATGATGATGGTAGGGATAAAGGTAGGGATAAAGAACAGAAATAAAGATGACAGAGGTATTCTCCTCGTAGCTGGGAGCTCGACTTCTTGCGGCTTATGATATTGCCTATTTTGAAGAGCTTTGGTTTCGCCAATAACCATGTAGTACAGAATGAAGTCCTGGTCGTGGTCGTTGGACGAGCTTCGCAAGTTCGCTCGGATGTTCAAGTACTGACAGTGAATTGCTGACATAAGGCTGGCTTCTCCCCTGGACCGACAGTCCGTCACGGACCGTGTCGGTCTTGAAGGTCCTCTGGTGTCCACTAGCGTTGCGTAAGAAACCCTACCAAACTTACCGTTTTTCAAAGTTACCAGGTAAGTTACCGTAAGTTACTGGTAAGTTACCTCGAGGTTCGAGAGACCTCTAGTGGTAACTTACCCCGGAGCCCGCCGGTCCGGCCCTCCCATATAGGGAAGCACCTTAGTCAGCCTCGCGAGGCACAACCTGCACAGCTTGACTCGCTCGACCCATCTTCCTTTGACTCTCCTCCCGATCCTGGCTGTCACTTCGAAAGAAAACGAGGTATGTTTCCATGTAGCCCAGGCTAATTTGAGCTCGAAACTCACTGCTCTTGCATTCTAGGTTCCAGGAGCTCGGAAAAACAAGTCAACAGTCCGATGGAGGGAGTCGAGGGTTGGGTACCGCTGGACAAGTATTCTGGGTTAGCATTGCAGTATATGCTGTGCTATGGTCCGCAATTGTCCATTAGTTGTCTTCTATACCTAACTAATCAAGCTTTCAGTCTCAAAATATCAATCTGTAAGCATCATTGTTGCACCAGTTACCACCATTCCTGCCAATCGGTACCACATTACACATATCCCTACTACAACTTTCCCGCTTCTTCCGGCCTAGTAAAGTTTGAACTATCTGAATGTCATGCCAAAAAACATACTTGAAATAAATCATCACTGTTATTCTTCGACACAACCCAGACGCATGAAAAATGCACTGTCCACTGCCGCCCGGTAGTCACCTAGGCTGAGGTATCCGATAGTCACTAGTAGCAAGTTCAATAAAGTGTGTGTTAAACCCGTTATTGACTATATAGTCTACGATGCTAGGCCCGGATCACGCCTCGGATCTGAGAATGACTTGGTCTATGGCGTAGGGTAATACGTTCAAATGCTGGTCCTCTCGCCAACGCACTTGTCCAAACCAGACGTCGATGAAAACTATGGATCCGACCAAAACCCAAGGACATTTAAGGGCGACCAAATTACATCCAACATCACAACCTAATAGATATTACAATAATGAAACAGGGATCGAAGCGTGGAATTTTATAAATGAGGGAGATAAAGAAGGATTGACTCGTGTTTCGGATCAATGAGCAGAACGATCGACGGATTAGCAGTTCTTGAGGATAGTACATCCGGCTTTGATACCCATGCTACAGGAAGCTCAGTAAGGCACCCATTCTATGAAACGGGACGTGACACTTACCCGTAGAGGGTCGCCACAGGGTGGGTTCCGATGTGCTATAAGTAGCTTTGATGAGACGCACATAGCAAAGAGTAGATTCAAACGAAAGCCCTCACAATAGGGAGGATGCTAGCATCAGCAATTCTCAAGTTCTTGGTGCCATAGACCTTAAAGTTCGAATCAACGACACCCTTGTCCTTGCGAGGAAGCATCGCGGCAGTTCCGATGAAGTGATAGTTGGTGCCGAGGTTAGTCTTCAAGTGTTGAATGAGCTCTGCGTCGGTGGCGTTTTCTGCAGGACTGATGACGCCCTTGGTGACCGACTTCATGGGCTCTGTCTTAGCGAGCTTGAAGCCATAGCGGAGCGCCTTGACAAAGACCTTGACGTCTGTGGAAGCCTGAGCGAGAGTAGATCACAGTTGCGACAGGAGAGAACGAACCGATATCGGCAGGGGAGTTCAGGTAGCTCGTGTCAATAACAGGGGCGGCAAGACCATCGGTGCTGTTGACATGAACCTGGGCGACGAGAATATTTGACGTAGGCAAAAGACGAGTCTTGATGAAGCACTCACGTTTCCTCTCGCCCAAGCATGCATCAAGAGGGTATTGAAAGTGTAGAATTTACCGGTAGTATCGCTCGGGTTCACAAGGGCGGACCCTTGAGTTTCGACACCGTAAGTACTGGCGACATCTGCCAGGGGAAATTAACTCACGGGGGAATAAGATAACTTCAAGCTCGGGAACAGAGTTATCATCAAGCCATTTCCTTTGCAACTTGTAGGTTGGCGTGTTGTACTTGGCGGGATCAGCAGCCAATGCAGCGTCAAGCTCCTTTTTTAGTTGAGTAAACTCTTGCTTGGACATGAAGTCGGTCCAGGGGATGAACACCAAGGCGGACGAGAATGTGCTCAGCAACCCGGTACGGTTCTGAACATATAAGTTATATTCCTCGGCAACGCCCTCGGGGCTGCTCAGCTTGTCGAAGGTGAACGCGGAGTCAATGGCTTGGAAGTTCTGGTTGATTCCAGGATGATCCTACGACGGAGTCATTGGATAAGGTCGATTGGAGCAAGAGGTTCAGGCGCACCTGCAAATTTTCACCGACACCAGGCAAGTCTACCAGAGTCTTGATCCCAATCTTATTCAGGACTTGGGTATTACCAATACCTAGGAGAAGAGAAGGTCAACCAAAAAGCACGATCTGAGACTATTGGTCCTCTTACCAGAAAGTTCAAGCAGTTGAGGATTCTTGAGAGAGCCTCATAGCGCAGACATAAGTCAATAGCAACGCTAAAGGGTTACAAGACACGGACCAGCTGAGAGGACAACTTCCTTCGAAACTTGTGCAGTGTATTTACGCTTGTCGCGGCCAACAAAGGTGACACCAGTAGCAGAGAGATCGCCTCCGTTCGCGCTACTGAATTCAACCTTTGTTGCTTGTGCGCCAGTGAGGAGGATCAGGTTCTTCTTCTCGCGGTTGGGCTCGTAGAACGCCTGGAGAAGACGAGCAAGGTAGTCAGGGATATGGTCCTGAACAGCCTCGTCAGATGCTACTAACATTGGCAGCAAAATGTCTCGAGCGATTCTGCGCATCCATAGTGCAAGTGGTAGCCCAACCACCAACACTGTTTCCGCCATACTGTGTTTAGTTAAGGTCAATGGCAAGACAGCGCAGTATGAATCTCGCGTACTCACGGGCGCTCTATTGGTCGGAACACCGAGGTTCTCAAACGCCTTAAAGAAGGGTGGTTGAAGGTCGCTGAAGAGCCCGTAGCTAGTGGTCTTGAGCGCACCACCACGACCGTGATTTGCTGGGTCGTTGTTCGCGCCGTACTGTTCAATGAACTCGCGGTTGGTAGGGGCCGTCCAGTTTTCGGACTTTTTCATGAAGTCGAACATAGTTTTGGCGCCCCATCCTGGATTACCAAGTGACTCGATACCTGTAAGGTGGAGGGTGAGTTTTCATGGGGAAAGAAAGAATCCACTAGCGCAATACCATTGTATTCATTTGTGGCAGCTCTGGAATACCCGGCGCATCAGTAAAGTACCACACGAATTAGGGGAACTTGGAAGATATGACCTGGTGTAGCCCAGGTAGTTCAAAACACTCGTCCCTCCAAGAATCTTTCCCCGCGCCAATTGAATTTGTCGGTTATCAACATGGTCCTGGGGTACCGAGAAGAACTGCCAGTCGTACTTGGGGTCTATGCAGAGTCAGGCACATGTGAGTTCCACAACTCTGAAAGTCGTACTATTGAGAATCGTCCCGGCGAATCCTGCGTCATGTTTAGACCTGACATCAGGATTACAGACACACTGAACATACCAGGGATGAGAACATTGTCATCATACAAGCGTTCTCCAGCTTCAATGACTCCCACAACAGCCCGCGAATCCTGCGAGAGTCTAATAGGCGAGGATGAGCGT